TTGAAATAAAAGATTGAACATTTTTGTTTGTTTGTTTGCTTCAATGCAGAAGCTCGTCTGATTCATTCACTGTTTACATATTCATACAACAAAATACTCTGGAGGCCATGAAAGATTTGTGAATATGAAAAAATATTGCTGGCTGGCAACTTAAAAATGAAACACAGGCGGGTAAAGAATTAATGGTAACACTTAACTTGAAGGGGTGTGCATAAGACTAACATGACGCCTTTTGATGCATGTTTGTGACAACTTGCAACATTTTTAATGCAAATTTGACATTGTCTTTGTCATGACAACTTGACATTACTAAGATAACACAACCTGTCATAAACATGACATAGCAGATTAATGATCAAACTTCAGAAAGCACCTAGCTTTATGGGTTAACATTACATTAAACTGTCAGGTGGTTGGTTTCGACATTGGCTGCCATAAAGCCATTATAACATTTTAATGACAAATTCAAGTTGAGGTCATGAAAAATATTCATGACACAGTTATAATGCCTCACGACAGCCAATGTCAAAGCCAAACACAGGACAGTTTAACTTCATTTAATGTCAAGTTGTCATGACAAAGACACTGACAGGTTATGATGTATCGGTTTATGTCAAGATGTCTCAAACAATGTCATATTTGCATTCAAAATGTCATTATTGAGCGAAAGACACAGTTGTCATAAAAATGCATAAACCCTGTCATGTCATGACTATGAAGGTGTCATGTCAGTCTTATGCACAATTAAAGTGTTACCGAATTAAGTCTACACAATGTGAATTCAATTGAAAATTCGAGTTATTCTGTGCATACAGAAACACTGCACACACACACAGTGCACAAACTACACTTCTACTAGGAGTGATATGCCTTTCCAAACATGCCACTTCTTCTTCTGGCAGTGATAAGCTGCCACCTAGTGGTTGTTTGTAGTGTTACACAAGACCTGAGTGAGTCTCACCTCCCATCAGGAAGAGCAGTCCCGCCACATACTGCATCAGCTCGTTGTGTTTCCAGCAGCCCAGCAGTCCAACCGTCCAGCCGAACACAATGATGGACACAGCCATGCCGATAAAACCTGCAGTCATCCGCTGCAAATCTGCACAGATCCATGGGGAAAAACAAATCGTACTGAATGTGAACGTTTACAGTAGGCTACTTCAAATCTTGTATAGAAGTATATGTTCACTCACAGATATATAACATTAATCAAATAAAAGGCCACTTAAGATCACTTTCATGGCATTTCTTAAAAACTTAAGGACAGTCAACATATACATAAATCATTAACGGCTTTATAATTGTTTGTCGTTGCCTTACATAATACAGCACATGTAAAGGACAATATTATAATCTGTAGTGTGTTGAAAGTTTACTGAAATGTACTTACAACTCCAGGTAACACTTAATTATCATTATCACTGTAACAAGGAAACCTAAAGTAACGTGGGTTAAACTTTATTTTAAGTTGTCCTTGTTACAGTGCTGATAATTAACAACATATACTTACTGTAGGGTTCAGGATTAGGGTTTGGTTTATCACGAATATATTTAAATACATGATGTTTTAATTGAAATTAAATTGAAGGTTATTTTAGTTTAACATAACTGCTAGTACATACAACAGTACGCTTTAACCATATTTCAAAGACAACATACGTAATAATGAAATTACAAAAAAGATCTAATTAAGTCTTATTTAAGTGGGTCAAAAATGTATTTAATGTAAATTTAAACTACAATAAATTTGTATTTAGTTGCAATTAACATCCTATGTATATTATTTGAAAGTGCATTATTTCCAAAATACGTTACTTTATATAAATAAATAAATAACTTCTAAAGTGTACTTTTTCACAGGGTACATTCAGTAGACTGTAACATGATGCAAAAAGCATAAATATATCCCCGAATCCGTAAAAGTTGGGACATTTTGTAAAATGAAATCAAATCAAGAATCTCTGATTTGTTAATTCTCTTGCAAATAAAACATTTTAAAGTTTTCACTGAACAAGCTAACTGTATTTTAATTAGTTAAAAGGTTCCAACACACTCCGCAAAAGTTGAGATGGTCCTCACTGCAGGACATGAATTCCATAGGGAGGAGTCGGATCCAGATCCGACTCCTCCCACCTTACATATACCTAAACCTACCCAGCTCCACCCCCTGATCCCTAAACCCACCTCTAAACCTACCCAGCTCCACCCCCTGATCCCTAAACCCACCTCTAAACCTACCCAGCTCCACCCCCTGATCCCTAAACCCTACCCCTAAACCTACCCAACTCCACCCCCTGATCCCTAACCACACCCCTAAACCTACCCAGCTCCACCCCCTGATCCATAAACCCACCTCTAAACCTACCCAGCTCCACCCCCTGATCCATAAACCCACCTCTAAACCTACCCAGCTCCACCCCCTGATCCTAAACCCACCTCTAAACCTACCCAGCTCCACCCCTGATCCCTAAACCCACCTCTAAACCTACCCAGCTCCACCCCCTGATCCATAAACCCACCTCTAAACCTACCCAGCTCCACCCCCTGATCCCTAAACCCACCTCTAAACCTACCCAGCTCCACCCCCTGATCCATAAACCCACCTCTAAACCTACCCAGCTCCACCCCCTGATCCCTAAACCCACCTCTAAAACCTACCCAGCTCCACCCCCTGATCCCTAAACCATACCCCTAAACCTACCCAACTCCACCCCCTGATCCCTAACCACACCCCTAAACCTACCCAGCTCCACCCCCTGATCCCTAAACCCACCTCTAAACCTACCCAACTCCACTCCCTGATCCCTAACCACACCCCTAAACCTACCAGCTCCACCCCCTGATCCCTAACCACACCCCTAAACCTACCCAGCTCCACCCCCTGATCCATAAACCCACCTCTAAACCTACCCAGCTCCACCCCCTGATCCATAAACCCACCTCTAAACCTACCCAGCTCCACCCCCTGATCCCTAAACCCACCTCTAAACCTACCCAGCTCCACCCCCTGATCCCTAAACCCACCTCTAAACCTACCCAGCTCCACCCCCTGATCCATAAACCCACCTCTAAACCTACCCAGCTCCACCCCCTGATCCCTAAACCCACCTCTAAACCTACCCAGCTCCACCCCCTGATCCATAAACCCACCTCTAAACCTACCCAGCTCCACCCCCTGATCCCTAAACCCACCTCTAAACCTACCCAGCTCCACCCCCTGATCCCTAAACCCTACCCCTAAACCTACCCAACTCCACCCCCTGATCCCTAACCACACCCCTAAACCTACCCAGCTCCACCCCCTGATCCCTAAACCCACCTCTAAACCTACCCAACTCCACTCCCTGATCCCTAACCACACCCCTAAACCTACCCAGCTCCACCCCCTGATCCCTAACCACACCCCTAAACCTACCCAGCTCCACCCCCTGATCCCTAACCACACCCCTAAACCTACCCAGCTCCACCCCCTGATCCATAAACCCACCTCTAAACCTACCCAACTCCACTCCCTGATCCCTAACCACACCCCTAAACCTACCCAGCTCCACCCCCTGATCCCTAAACCCACCTCTAAACCTACCCAACTCCACTCCCTGATCCCTAACCACACCCCTAAACCTACCCAGCTCCACCCCCTGATCCCTAACCACACCCCTAAACCTACCCAGCTCCACCCCCTGATCCATAAACCCACCTCTAAACCTACCCAGCTTCACCCCCTGATCCCTAACCACACCCCTAAACCTACCCAGCTCCACCCCCTGATCCCTAAACCCACCTCTAAACCTACCCAGCTCCACCCCCTGATCCCTAACCACACCCCTAAACCTACCCAGCTCCACCCCCTGATCCCTAAACCTACCCTACTCCACCCCCTGATCCCTAAACCCACCCCTAAACCTACCCATCTCCGCCCCCGATCCCTAAACCCACCCCTAATCCTACCCATCACCACCCCCTGATCCCTAACCACACCCCTAAACCTACCCAGCTCCACCCCCTGATCCCTAAACTCACCCCAAACCTACCCAGCTCCACCCTCTGATCCCTAAACCTGCCCAGCTCCACCCCCTGATCCCTAACCCCACCCCTAAACCTACCCATCTCCGCCCCCGATCCCTAAACCCACCCCTAATCCTACCCATCACCACCCCCTGATCCCTAACCACACCCCTAAACCTACCCAGCTCCACCCCCTGATCCCTAAACTCACCCCTAAACCTACCCAGCTCCACCCTCTGATCCCTAAACCTACCCATCTCCGCCCCCTGATCCCTAAACCCACCCCTAATCCTACCCAGCTCCACCCCCTGATCCCTAAACCCACCCCTAATCCTACCCAACTCCACCCCTCAGATCTGGATCCGACTCCGCCCCCTGGATCTCGTGTACTGCAATGAGGTTCTACTGGAAAAATTGGGACAGAGACATGTTTACCACTGTCACATCACTGTCACGGTTCATGAATCCGTTTGTCTCATTCTGGTGTGTGTGTGTGTGTGTGTGTCTGTGTAGCCGTGGTTACCAATCCTGTGTGATTATCTGCACCAGCTATAATCAATTCCCATTCCCATTATATCTTCAGTAACCCCATCTCATGTTGTCAGATGGTTGTGGCTTCCCCGGCGTCGTGTCCTGTTCTCGTGCGGCTCCCTCTCGTCTCCTGGTGTGGATTATCTCTCTGTGGATCGTCATCCTGTTTCTGGATTGTTTATTGTTCCTGGTTCCTGGATCACCGTACGCTATTCTCCAGGTTGCCCATCAACGTCCCTGTGTCTTTCACCATCTGAGTGTTTGTTCCTGACCTGTGTTCTATCCTGACGTGTCCGCTCTGTATTGTTACGATCACCTTTCCTTACTTACACTATTTAATCAATTGGGAATTGAGGATACGAATTGTTGCCGTTTCCAGCGCGAGACAGATCTGGACTGCAGTGGGGCGCTTCCCTTCTGTGGTGTAGAGTCTAGATACCACAGTTTTAGCATGAGCAGAATGACATCCGGCACTGTCTTACTTCCCAGGAAAGATGTGTGACTCTACACCTCCACATCAGTGCTCCCTTCACACATGATGAACAGATGCTTTTAGTGTGGATAGGACTGAGGACTCGGTCTGTTTTTCCCAAAAACAAGCAGAAATGTCAACTCCTCTGACCGTGGCACATATGTTCACTGTGTTTAGGAGAGAACTCGCCTGTGTCAGTAACAACGGTTTTCCAAAGTACTCCCGAGCACACGTGGCTGTGTTTAACACAGTAGCATTTAGAAATACGATTTTTGAACTGTTTGACAATTCTCTCATGTTCTTTTGTTGCAAAAAAAAAAAAGAGAAAAGCTGCTCTAAAGACGCTCTTTTTACACTCAATCACGTATTGCCGATTCACTCATGTCCACTCATGTGGACTGTTTCAAAAGAGTTAACTTCAATATTTTATAAGCTTTTCACTTTTATTTTGCCTCTGTCTCAACTTTCTCTTTTGCTGTGTTTTACAGCCATCAAAATCTGTTTGTATTTACAAAAATACATTTAAAGGAGTAGTTCACTTTTAAAAAAAAACTCCCATGTCATCCAAGATGTCCATGTCTTTCTTTCTTCAGTCGAAAAGAAATCAAGGTTTTTGATGAAAACATTCCAGGATTTTTCTCCATATAATGGACTTCAATGGGAACCAAACGGTTCAAGGTCCAAATAAGAGTTTCAGTGCAAACTGTTCAAAGGGCTTTAAACGATTCCAGACGATGAATAAGGGTCTTATCAAGCCAAACGATCGCTCATTAAAAAAAAAATATAACAAAGTTTAAGTTTTATAACCACAATTGCTCGCCTTGCTCTGTTCTGTGATGCGCGTTCGTGACTCTCCTGTTCGAACTCGTTCATCAAAATGAACAAATCTTTTTTCAAGTCATGACTCGAAGGGCCATAAGACCCTTATTCATCGTCTGATATCGTTTAAAGCCCTTTGAACAGTTTGCACTGAAACTCTCATTTGGACCTTGAACCGTTTGGTTCCCATTGAAGTCCATTATATGGAGAAAAATGCTGGAATGTTTTTTTCATCAAAAACCTTGATTTCTTTTCGACTGAAGAAAGAAAGACATGGACATCTTCAATGACATGGGGGTGAGTAAATTATCAGCAAAAGTTTTTTTTTTAAAGTGAACTACTCCTTTAAGTGTGTCAGTGAAAATCTTTTACTTGTATTTTAGTCAGTTAAATAAAGGTTCAAGAGAATGAACAAGTCACAGATTCATGCATTGTACAAAACGTCCAAACGTTTCCTGTATTTGGGGCTGTTTAGGCCTTGTCTTTAATTTTTTCGGTATTATAACATTAACTAAGAGGTTCCACTGAAAACTATAAGTGATTCAAATCGTTTGGTAACACTTTACTTAAAGGGGTGTGCATAAGACTGGCATGACACCTTCATAACCATGACATGACACATGTCTTTAGGGTTTATGCATGTTTATGACAAGTGTCATTAAGTGTCTTTCGCTCAGTTATGACATTTTGAATGCAAATATGACATTGTTTGAGATGTATTTGTTATGACATTCTTGACATAAACCAATACATCATAACCTGTCAGTGTCTTTGATGACGACTTGACATTAAATGAAGTTAAACTGTCCTGTGTTTGGCTTTGACATTGGCTGTCATGAGGCATTATAACTGTGTCATGAATATTTTTCGCGACCTCAACTACAGTGGCACTAATTGAATTTGTCATTAAAAAGTTATAATGTCTTCATGACAGCCAATGTCTAAACCAAACACCTGACAGTTTAATGTAATGTTAACCAATAAAGCTATAGGTGCTTTCTGAAGTTTGATCATTAATCTGCTATGTCATGTTTATGACAGGTTGTGTTGTCTTAGTAATGTCAAGTTGTTATCTCAAACAATGTCATATTTGCATTAAAAATGTCATAACTGAGCGAATGACACTTAATGACAGTTATCACAAACATGCATAAACCTTCCCTCATACATCGTGTCAGGATTATGAAGGTGTCATGTCAGTCTTATACACACCCCTTCAAGTAAAGTGTTCCCAATACTTTTTACAAATTTGAACATCTGTTAGTTGATTACTGTGATGCTGCTAAAGCTTTTGTATAAAGTGTCATATAAATAAATGATTGACTACTTAAACCTTCAGACTTCAAACTTTTAAAACTGATTTCAACTTTCTGACCATCAAAGTTGTAATCTAGTTTGTGTTGCAATAAAAACTAGTTTAGTGTATTTACTTGAAAAAAAATATATTTTCATGATGTTATCACAAAATTTTTTCTTTTGTCAAATCAACTTAAAACATTTATGTAGTTCATTTAACATAATATTTTGAGTTTCTGGTGATTAAATCAGTCTCCTTCATTGTATTAACTCAATTTTTCCATTTCAACGAACGTAAGATTTTAAGGCAGCCAGGTTACTTAATTTTTTAAGTTAAACCAACAATATTTTTTTTTTACAGTGAGATTATTGTTTAAACACATCATAAATATATACAGTATATAAAATACATCATGAACAATCTGTCACATATTATGTCAGTCAGGTTATAGGTTTTGTATTCCCATGAAATGGCATTATAAGTGTTTCTGGAAGCATTTGAAGATTCTGGAAGGCCAGAGAAACGTCTCTCAAAGTCTAATTCACAGACCCAGAGAGAAATTCATTTTGAGAGATTTAAACAAGGTCAAATGTGTGAAAACAAGCAATTGATAGTTGAAAGTAGATTAGACTAGGGCTGTCAACTGATTAATCGCGATTAAACGCATCCAAAATAAAAGTTTGTGTTTACATAATATATGTGGGCGCGCTGTGTATAATTATTTTATAAATATTTCATGTATTTACTGTATATAGATTTATATATAATTTATATTATATATAAATATCAATATTTTATATATAAATATTTTTTTTCTTAAATATACATGCATGTGTGTGTGTTTATTATATATATACAAAATAATTATACACAGTGCACCCACATATGTTATGTAAACACAAACGTTTATTTTGGATGCGATTAATCGCGATTAATCGTTTAACAGCCCTAGATTAGATCAATGATTTGATAAAGATGTGAATTGCAGATGTGTACTGATGCTTTAATAATAGCTCATAATACACTGATCACATGTTAAGAGTGTGATCACGAGTGGTGTTGGTTCATAGATCAATGCTTGTGTGATTGAACAGTAAATATGACATGATCTGACTTACGGAGAGCGTGCCATTCGTCTTGTCTGATAGTCTTGGTGATGTTCACAGGTAGATTTCGTGGGATATTCGCTGAGGAATAGTAATACTTCACCGGCGTGCAGCGTTGAAGCAAACCTGCAGAAATTCACAGAAACTTCAGTAATAATAGTGAGGATCACGTTAACACAGATGCAGTGCACGTGTGTTTGAATGGTGGAACAGTCACAAGTAATAAGACATTTGTGTGTAAGACATTTACCACTGCCATATCCTTTATTTGGATTATGATCAGAAACATTCAAACTGGACCTCAAACAACATCAGTCAACCAAGTCAATTTACTCGCATATCATCTCAAAGACTATCATTTATCACATTAAGAAGCTTGAAAATGCATGAAATAATATATTCTTTTCAGATTAAAGGGATAGTTAACTTTGAAATTAATTTTTGGTATGTTTTATCTTACCTCAAGGGCATCCAAGATGTAGGTATCTTTGTTTCCACAGTATTTTCAATTTTGATATTTTTAGGTCCGTTCTTGTGAATCAGTCATATAATGGAGGTCTATGGTCACCACCTCAAATAGCATGCACAGAGAAGTCCAAATTAAACATGAATCAATGACTCGTAAATGTAAGTACACATAGATGGCCTAAGACACGAAACGAGCGGTTTGTGTGTATTTATATCGTTTTACCTCTTGTAACCACAGCCACAAAGCGCCCCCGGCCTCAGATCACTTGGACGTGGCTGTGATTACAAGAGGTAAAAACGATATAAATACTGTTCGTTTTCTCACACAAACCGCTCGTTTCGTGTCTTAGACCATCAATGTGTACTTACATTTACGAGTCATTAAATCATGTTTAATCTGGACTTCTCTGTGCATGCTCTTTGAGGTGGTGACCATAGACCTCCATTATATGACTGATAGACACAAACGGTTTGACCTAAAAATATCAAAATTGAAAATACTGCAGAAACAAAGATGCCCTTGAGGTAAGATAAAACATACCAAAAATTAATTTCAAAGTGAACTATCCCTTTAAGTAGAATTGGAATACTGCTTTTGTTATTGGAGCTATCAAAATGAAACTCAAACGGGAAACGAACGTAACATATTCCAGAGGTAGTTGAGTGTTTTCCTTTATTAATGGCCCTGCAGTCTCTCAGACCTTAAAAATAACACATGGTTTTGTCAAATGGATCCCATGCACTGCCCTGACAGGCTCCATCTGTTTCTGTTTTTTAGTAAATGTGAGGAGTGTGTGAACCTGAGCGTGTGTCTAGTGTTGATGTGAGAGATCAGCACCCTGGATAGCGCCAAACATTCTTCAACACTCCTTCACTAATGCTCAACAAACACACTAGAACTGTTCAAAATCAACTCGGAATCTGGTTACTGTTCACACATCATCACCTTTAAAAATCAGATCCTCGTTCTCCAGATCGAAGCCCTCTCGATGGCATTTCCTCCAGAGCCCGGTTGTGGTCGAGTTGTAGCGGCGGCTGCAGCGCGACTCCATGGCGGGCGCAGGGTGCAGGAATCCCCGCAGAGGAGCCGCTTCCGGTCGCATCCGGAGAGGGAGGTTTTGGTTGGAAATATATATGTATCCTGGGTCATTTCTCTTGCTGGCGTATTTTTTGCATCGGTCCCGGTGTTTCCGCGCATCTGTTTCGTACCAGTAGTCTGTGCTGATGGCCATGGTCAAGAGCCAGATGGAACAGAAGGCCAGGAAGAGCCCGGATGCTGTTAATATCCTCATGATGCCCGCGGACAACAACTGTCACATTTTGCACCGAACCCATATCATCCTAAACCCGACATAACAAGACGATACAAATGGTGTTGGAGCTCTAGACAGACATGTCTGTCCTCTGCTGCTGCTCGTTTGGAGTCGGGGTGATGGAGAGCCAATGCCGACACTGGAGACTGCTGATGAAAGCGCTCCGGATTCGTCAGACGACAGCTGTGTTGCCGCTGTCTCCATAAAGGATATTCGGGCGAATCTTAAAGCCTGTCGATACGTAAAAATTGTTTTTTTTTAAAAAATTAAAAAAAAAAAAAAAAAAAATATATATATATATATATATATATATATTCTTTATTTTTTTAAAGGAATGCAGGACCATCGAGATTTTTTATTTAAAAAAAAATGTAGTGTAAAAAAAATAATCGCTTTGTCCTCATTATAAAAAAATTTAAAAAATAAAAATAAAAGCCCGGATGCTGTTAATATCCTCATGATGCCCGCGGACAACAACTGTCACATTTTGCACCGAACCCATATCATCCTAAACCCGACATAACAAGACGATACAAATTTTAAAGGAATGCAGGATCATCGAGATTTTTGATTTGAAAAATAAAGTGGTGTAAAAAAATAATCGCTTTGTCCTCAGCAATTCTCATTATATATATATATATATAAAAAAAAAAATATATATATATATATATATATATATATATGTGTGTGTGTGTATATATATATATATATATATATATATATATATATTTAAAGGAATGTAGGACCATCGAGATTTTTTATTTTAAAAAACGTGGTGTAAAAAAATAATCGCTTTGTCCTCATTATAAAAAAATAAAAATAAAATAAATAATATGTACATAAATAATATGTATGTATGTATGTATGTATGTATATATACATATATATATATATATATATATATATATAAAGGAATGCAGGACCATCAAGATTTTTGATTTTTTTTAAACATAAATAATCGCTTTGTCCTCAGCAATTCTTATTATAAAAAAATAATAATAATAAAAAGAATAATAATAAAAGACCCGGGCTAGTCGTATTGTAACTGTCAGAATATACATGCTTTTTAAAAAAATAAATAAATAAATAAATATATTTTTTTAAATACCTTTGCTAAAACTAAAATGTTATTATTATTTTTTGTTATTATTAGTAGTAGTATTAGCCTATTAGTAGTAATAGTAGTAGTAGTAGTAGTAGTCTAGTAGTAGACCTATTAAAATTCAATTCAATTGATTTTTGCTAAAAGATAGCCAATATGTTAAAATTTTATTTAAAAAAAATAATTAAAAAAATGTAATAAAAAAAAATAAAACAGATTTTGTTTTTATTCCTTAATAAAATAGACAAATACATATATAGGCCTACATAAACATCGGGGAGATCGGGGAGTGTTGTAACACACAGGAGCAGTTTTACTGTAAGTCAGAAAAAAGCTATGATGATGCCATCACAACCATACACTCGCATAACTTTTTTGAGCACACATGGAGAAGTGGCATGTTTCTGTGAGAAACATTGTACAATTTATGAACAAAAAAGAATCCTGGAAGGAAAGTAAAAAATTGTATCAAGATTGTTTTTTGCCTATAGCAATCATTGAACAGTTATTTGTCCTGCATAATCTAAAGTAGCTATTTCTCTAGTTCAATTTGATGCTTTGCATTCATGCCACTGTAACTTCAAACATGAATGTAAATCATGTGGGATCGTTGTAACAACATTAAAAATGTTACAACCAACCCCTTATGATTCCAGTTATAAATCACACCCCCTTTACCATGTATTTAGTAAACAGATTCCACCATAGTTTATTCACATGTTTCCTTATTAGATTAAAAAAAATCTTCTTTTTTTTGTGCACATCTTTAGAATTTATGCACATCTGTGTTTCCATTCAGTGTCTTTTTAATGTGATATAAAATAACTGGATGGAAACATCTGTGAATATTATGTGAATATACGCCTTATTCACGGCAGCGCCATCTTTGATTTTTAATGAGAATGAAAGCGAGGCTGTGAGGGATAGACTTGCATCTCTTCAATGGGCTGTACTGTTATTTAACGTGTTTTCGGATTGTTCTGCTCATGAACCACACTGGAAAAATATCTTTCCAAGACATTTCAGTTGACAAAAAACTCCCGACAATGTAAGCTGTGGAAAACTGTAAGTAATCTAGCCGCTTTATTCAACTTTTTACAGCGGATGCCAATTGGAAACACGGTACGTCTATCCCTCACAGCCTCACTTTCATACCTGTCATGGCGCTGCTCTGAATAAGGTCTATAGCACACACACATGATCACACACACACAAATACACAAACGTGCTGAATGTAAAATCCTTAAAGGGTTAGTTCACCCAAAAATGAAAATTCTGTCAGTATTTACTCACCCTCATGTTGTTCCAACCCCGTAAGACCTTTACAAATTAAGATATTTAAGATATTAAGATCACTCCTGCATACTAGTCCATAGGCTTCTTGAGGGACTGGCTCTTGCTGTCCCCGAAAAGTCATTAAAGACATCGTTAAAATAGTCCAAGCGACTACAGGGGCTCAATCTTAAGTTTATCAAACGACGAGAACACTTTTGTGCGCAAAAAAACAACAAAAATAACGACTTTATTTCAACTATTCGTTTATTTCTCCCTCTGCGCGAGTCAGGTTACTAGTTTAATAGCGTAAGCTTCTGTTATTGTACGTCACACGCATCACACACACATGACCAGCGTCGGCCAATAGTGAGCCTACGTGTGACGTAGCTCTACGCAATCACACTACGTTAACTGACTACAGGCCCATGGAGAAGGAAGTGAATAGTTGAAATAAAGTCGTTATTTTTGTTTGTTTTTGCGCACAAAAGTGTTCTCGTCGTTTGATAAACTTAAGATTGAGCCCCTGTAGTCACTTGGACTATTTTAACGATGTCTTTAATGACTTTTCGGGGACAGCAAGAGCCAGTACCTCAAGAAGCCTATGGACTAGTATGCAGGAGCGATCTTAATATCTTAAATATCTTAATTTGTGTTCCGAAGATGAACGAAGGTCTTACGGGGTTGGAACAACATGAGGGTGAGTAAATACTGACAGAATTTTCATTTTTGGGTGAACTAACCCTTTAAAGAAATACAATACAATGTTTTTTGTTTACTTTAAATTGCTCACTTTATTCAAAAAAAGCTCTCATTGTTACATATATCCCCAGCCTGTGTTACAAATACTATTTGTGTTTGACATTAACTCATGTAATTTGTGTTTGTGTTGTACATGTCCAAGTGTACACTCACCTAAAGGATTATTAGGAACACCACACTAATACTGTGTTTGACCCCCTTTCTCCTTCAGAACTGCCTTAATTCTACGTGGCGTTGATTCAACAAGGTGCTGAAAGCATTCTTTAGAAATGTTGGCCCATATTGATAGGATAGCATCTTGCAGTTGATGGAGATTTGTGGGATGCACATCCAGGGCACGAAGCTCCCGTTCCACCACATCCCAAAGATGCTCTACTGGGTTGAGATCTGGTGACTGTGGGGGCCATTTTAGTACAGTCAACTCATTGACATGTTCAAGAAACCAATTTGAAATGATTGGAGCTTTGTGACATGGTGCATTATCCTGCTGGAAGTAGCCGTCAGAGGATGGGATGGTCAGAAACAACGCTCAGGTAGGCCGTGGCATTTAAACGATGCCCAATTGGCACTAAGGGGCCTAAAGTGAGCCAAGAAAACATCCCCTCACACCATTACACCACCACCACCAGCCTGCACAGTGGTAACAAGGCATGATGGATCCATGTTCTCATTCTGACTCTACCATCTGGACTGCCCCATACTGGATGTTTTTCCCTTTTCACACCATTCTTTGTAAACCCTAGAAATGGTTGTGCGTGAAAATCCCAGTAACTGAGCAGATTGTGAAATACTCAGACACCAACAACCATGCCACACTCAAAATTGCTTTCTTTCCCATTCTGACATTCAGTTTGGAGTTCAGGAAATTGTCTGAATATATCTAGTATACTCTGGATATATGAATGTTGTTTGTAAAGCGATAGTATTAATGTTATTATTATAATTATTATCATCATCATCATCATCACAGGATAGAATAGGGGATTATCACGCTGATACGTAGTACTTCTGCCACTTCCGTTGAATCACCGATCTCGCTGGCGAACTGATGAAGGACTACACTAAGTTCATTTATGCAGCATCCCTGGCAAATTAGTCTGATTCACTAAAGTGCCGGCAGCAAACAAACGTGCTACCTTGTTTTATTTTAAAGTTTTAATCCACTTCTTCCTTATACTCAATTCAGTCGGGAATCCATGAAAACTTAAGTAGGGTTGGCGTTGTTGGTTAGATTTACAAAGTGGAACAGAGCAGTGACATAAATAGCATTCGTGAACTGCGTCGGAAGGGGACATGCACAAAGTTGACAAACCCCGCCCATGAAACCCAGAAGCGTGATAATCCCCTATTGCTCATCTAAAACCAGTTAAGACCGTCTTGGAATTCAAGCCTGTCTATGCCGAAGCTGTTTTTAGCCAGGTGTAAATAAGTCTTCATCACCAGCAGATGTGGTCATAAACAAGAAACTGATGGAGGTATCGCATCAGTACTGCTCTGCTTGCCATGTTTAGCACTGGAAAACTGCATGGATCACCCCAGCTGAGCAGTGATCCGTTTGACCTTTTAGGTATGACTTTCAGAGCGTCTTTATCCCCTGAATGCTGTCATTGAGTACTGCAGCACTTAAAATAATGGGTTGTCAAGTATTTGCATCTAAAAAATGTGAAAGTCATCAGGAACAGTTTTTCTCTGTTTAGGTTATTTGGAGAAGTGTCTTAATGTTAAATTATAGATTCTTCAGAGTGAATTAGTTCATGAGATGTTTGAAGGAATTGAATTGAATTCTTGCATATATTTTTAGCACTTATTTTTTAGCATCATTTCAAAACAGCTTTTATAAAGAATAGTGCCTA